TTATTTATTTGAGTGATTGATCCCCAGGAAGAAATTAAGGTGCAAAGAGGTGTATATTAGCAACTCCCAGTCAATGCCACATTGGCTTCTGGGAACTGTAGTCCCAGATCCATCAATTGTGGTCATCTACCAACTAACTGCAGGTGGCACTGTTTCACACTTTTTGAAGCCTGGAAGCAAGTGCATGCGCTCAAACGGGTCTTTTATTCACTGTGCTGAAGGTTGGGTGCATTTGCGAGTCCATAAATCTGCAGCTTGTCCAGAAATATACTCTGCGAGTCCTTGAAAATGTGGAGGGTTAATTTGATGATGGCCTGGTGGAGTTTGCCGTACCACGTTCCACGATGCTGCTCCTAATCATGCCCACCTTTCTTGTCAAATGATCGTTTGCACTCTGTGTACAAACAAGAATTAGGCGGCGAAGTAATTACTGCTATGAAGTAAGCGGTACCATTGTGAATACCTCACTGTGTGAAAATGAACGTCCAGATGGAGCTCAGGGTGCTGAAGGAGGCTGAGCTGCACTAAGCTGGCAGTCATTTCCACGCCACTGGTGACGGGTCTTCCAGGCTTCATGGTACGCAGTGTGACAGGTGGAACTCTCTGATTAGATGCACCTTTGCTCTACAAGCCTTGGCTTCTTCCTCGGTGGCATTATTGATGTGTCTAGACCCTTGGGTTCCTCTGTCATAGACTCGTGGTGACACTGGAGTGTCAACGCCGTACCACAAAAACACAAACCCTTTCATTTGATCTGTGCTTCTGTGTGACATCCCCCCCCTTCAGACTCAGCATGATGTGTTATCCACTCTCCTGGGGAGCAATTTTTATCCATAAAAGCATTTATCTCACGCCTGTGGTATTTTACAGACTCGCTGGCTTTTCTGAAACCAGTCTGTCATGTTGCAGAACAGTGTGTCACCCCACAGGCAGCACAGTCATAGTTTCTGCCCCATAATCATTTTCTCTCATCACCAGCCCCCCCGGATCCTCATTGACCCTTCCCTATGTCCGCCGCAGCCCCCGCCCCCCCACGTCCCTGTTATATACCTGCAGTCGACGGTGTACACACCCTGTCACCGTGACTTTGCTCGTCTTCCTGTCCCTGTCTCTAACTCCGCCCCCTTTGCCATTACACCCTGCACAATTATAATTCTGCTTGTCGTAAACATCATTTGCGCCTTTGGTCACGTCATTTAAATGGGTTCTTGTCTATATATGTCCCCCCCCCCCAACCCCCACTATCTGTCTTGGGACAGTACAGAATGCAAACACTATAAACAGTTTACAGTTTATTTGTAACTGGATGGACGGAGGGACGGAATGAGAAATGAAATGAGAATGAAATGAAATTTTATTTGCCGTTTGTATGATTGCAGCTATATTGCAATGCTGCTTTTTGCATATCCCATCTTGCTTTCCTCTTTATGAAATACGCAAGTGAGAGCAAAGCTTTAGGGTCTGAGCACAGGGTCGGATGGATGGATGATAAATATTTAGTTTCTTTGTATCAAGGGTTTTATATCGGTTTAATGTTTCTAAATAAGCACTCAAGTTACTTTGCCTTTTAACAAGCACCTTGAAATAAAGTAGTAAACTTGTTTGTAGTAAAATCATAGTAAACATCTTTTATTTATAATGAGTATTTAGTGTGATTTCTCAGAAGAGGGCTGGAAGCTGTTTTTCATGCGCCGCCGCAGCTGATCTTCCCATCGCAATCCCATCACCTTCCCGGGGTTTCTGGGCAGGATGCCGGCCCAACTCGCATGTGTCGCCGTGGTCACGGCAAAGCAGCTAATAAGAGAGGCTTCCCACAGTTCCCTGGGACATCGTCTGCGGTTAGCATAGCCTTGTCTGTTCCCAAATACATGTTTACTGTAGCTTGTGTTTATTTATCTCTCTTATCTGAGGCAGCCTTGGCAATTTTACCCTTTCGCTTGGTAAAGAATCTGAGCCCCACCCCCCCCCCCCCCCCCCCCCCCCCTTACATCTTGACCTGGTAACCTTTATGGTATCGGTCCTTGTCGCTAACCCCGCTGCTTGCTGTTGAAACTTTAAAGATCGTTTTCTGCATGTCAGCAGCTATGTTACCATAATATCTAGTGGTGCTCTCTGACCTTTGACCCCTCACCTGCTTCCCCTTCTCCCCTGCACTCAAAATGGCATTCGTCTACAGATTCTCTCCTCGTGTCTGTGGTTTCACTCACCCTCTGTGCGCAGGCTTTACACCCAGTAATGCCGCAAGGAACCTTGGGAAAACTGCAGTCAGGAATATGTAGATTCAAAAACTATCCTTGGTCAGGCCAGGCTTCCTGTTGAGAAGGAATGTTCTGAATCTAAGACCAGTATGAAGGAACCACATGACCTCACTGCTAGTTTGCTTGAGTAGTTGGTCAAGGTTTTGCCAGGAATAGGTTAGAGGTGACGATTTCAAATCCGCTTATTATGATTTATAATTCACAATACCAGTGAGGATTCTGATGAGTAGTTAATTGACCTTTATATCACTCAAAATTGAATTGAATGCTAAATGTTGCCTCTTTATTCAACTGAAACTTTACAGGCTTACTGAAGAATCCAGAATCTTATTTACCCTGGTAAAAAATTATTCTGCATTTGGTAGGAATTGGCAGCCCCTGCCAGCCCAGTCGGATATCAGATGTCTGACGGGTCTTGCGTCTTGAAGTGTCTCCTCTGAAGGCGATTGCTTTGCTGTTTTGACACTGGCACCTTAATTTGGAGTTTGTGGAGTTTGCATGTTCTCTCCGTGTCCTCGTTGGGTATCGTCCAGGTACTCTGGTTTCCCCCCACAGTCTAAAAACGTGCTGAGGTTAATTGTAGTGTGGATGTCCGAGTGAACGGCGTGTGAGTGTGTCCTACCATGGCTTGGTGCCCCGTCCTGGGTTGTTCCCTGCCTTGCGCCCATAGGCTCCAGAGCCCCAGGACCCAGAATAGGTGATAGTCAGTGACTCTGAGTGGATGGGTCTAGAGTGGGTAGGGGGGCATTGTGTGGCTCAGTGAGTTAGGACACGATACCTGTGATTGTAAGGTCACAAGTTCAAATTCCAGTGTCAGCAGTGACTTTGCCTTTGAGCTCTTGAGCAAGGCCGTTAACCCCCAATTGCTCTAGTGACTTCTGACCCAAGTTTGGATAAAAGCATCTGTTCCCTGACTTCTGAACACTTCAGAACTCAGGCCACTGATAAGAGGGATGCCTGCTGCCATGGTAACAATGTGCGGGTGCCTAGCACTGAGCATGTGTGCCCGCCCATTCCTGTGTGTGGCAATTGTACTGCTTAAAATTCAGCTGCTGTCCTGCAAACAACCGGCCCCCAGACCCCTGACGTTAATGAACTTCGCCGGCTTCAGGACCGAGGAGAATCGGGCCTCTTTTTCACAGACGGTCATTTGTCACAACCAGGCTTTGTGTCCGATGACATCATTCAGGGACTGAGGTCCTGCCCTGGAGATCTTTTCCCCTGATGTCTCTCTAAAAGAATTCCTACTTCTCATCATTGAAGACAGGATTAATTCAGTGCCTTGCAATTTCCAAGGCAATGGGGCTTTAAAGGCTGTTTTTACTTTTGTAACATAAACTCGTGTTAAAATAGTGAGAATGATTTGCTTCTTCAGGCTGTAGTCAGCAAGACCAAAGAGCTATATCAGTCAAAGCCCATGTAGTGCCCCAGGCAAGGGTTTACTGCCAGTGCTCTCCGTACCTCAGGTCACCTGACGAGAGGGTGTGGCCTTTTTTTAGAGTCCAGCCTGAAAGCCGGACGCCGGGAGGAGTGGGCTGGTAATGTGCTGTGGCTGTTTTTTCCCTCTCAAAAGGTTATAGTCTGCTGGAACACTGTGGTCACAGTATCCTCCTCTCTGTTCATGTCCATTTCACAACATGGAATTATTGAGTGGTCATGACATCAGAAAGAAGATGATTCTTTAGCGCAGTAGTGCGTAAATATACCCGTGTGGTGAGTTAAGTGCAGATGTCATCTGAGAGAAAACAAAATAATAATAATCAAAACAAACCCTGGATTTCCTGTACGTTTTGGGAAGAATATTTCAGCAATGTACACAGCGCCCCCCGCAGGCAAAATCAGGCAATGTTTTACCCCATGCACTCTTAGTGGTCAAAGTGGAAACCCCATGACAGGGCTCTTTGGTCCAGCGTTCAATTCCATTTTATCTGCAGTCCAGCCAATCATTTTCCGATTGGGGGAGGGAATGAATTAGCTGGCATTTCTTCTCTCCATTTAATTACAGTGTCAAGTAACGTCAAGTAATGTCAGTAGGCAGTCGTTCCTCCATCCAATCAGGACTGACTTTTCAAATTAAAAAATACAGTGTCGGATCAGTTAAGTTTAGGCGTGGGGATTCTGTGCATTGGGGATAGCTGTAGTGTTAAACAGATCTTTTTAAATTATCTTTACAGTGCTCCATGCTACTGAAAACAAATCCAAATGAAGTCAATTATTTTAATAATGTTTAGAATTCTTCGAGTGCTGCGACACCTTTGTGTGTTGACGCCCTAAAACAAGGGCCTGACAGGAGCCCTGATCGAGTCGCATTTCCTGCACAAAGGGGCTGCCGTATCAGACAGTAAGGGCTCCTCCAGCTGGCCTCATTGTCCGCAGCAGTCTGCTTTCATTACACCCATGCAAATGAGCAAATCGGCCTCGGCAAATGGATTCGACTAAAGGCCATTGCTGTCAGAGCTTGTGGCTTTAAGGCGCTGGAATGCGTCAGGAATGTAGTAAAGGCAATAACGTCGTCTTCATTCCGAAGCGTGTTTATCGGAAGGAGGGAATTATTACAGCCCTCGGCAGAATAATTTCCCGGGGGGTACAAATCAATGTCATTGTGATGGAGGACAGTTTAACACAATTGGGTATATGTCCCCCGCCCCAACCCCCACTATCTGTCTAGGGACAGTACGGAATGCTGTTTCAGTTTCAAGCTACTGAATGTGTTCTGATGCCTCCTGTTTCCCCCCCAAACAGCTTCTGGGCTCTCTTCCCCCCCTACGACACCCACCCAAGCAAACAAACAGCCCCCCTTCCCCCTGGAGGCTTACCAGAATGAGCCAGAGCAGCGGGAGGCCCGGATGCGCTCCTTCTCGTCGCCCCCGGATACAGGCCAACGCTTCACACTGCTGTCCGCCAAACCCCCGACACCAGACTCAGCACCCGTCACTACCTCGCGACTCGTAAGTACCTGCATCTCTGCTTGTGGGTCTGTGTTATATAATCACCAGCTATATGAGTGTTTGACTGGTTTGGAGCAATATGAGCTCAGCCACTAGGTGTCACTGTAGTTAAGGATCTGTTTTTAAAACACAGAACACAGCTCTTTCCTGTTGGGGTGGGAGTGGGGGTCTTTAGCCAGGTGCTCACCCTGAATCACTCCAGTGAAAACATCCATCTGTATAAACAGATAACTGTAATTAGTTTTCGTTACAGTTGCTCAGCAGGCACGTTTATCTGAGGGCTGAGGTAACCTAGCAACACCCAGAACTGCTCTGGGCCACATCTTCAGGGGGACTCTGCCCTGCATCTAGAAGGCTGAGTATAGCACGATAATGGCTAGAAAAGCCATGGGTTTGTACCAAAAGCTATGGGCAAGGGAGGGGGATAATGTGGAGCATGGGGTGGAGAAATGTTTGCCCATGTTTCTGCAAGCCAGCAGGCTTCAGACTTCACTTAGTGACATCACAATCGGAGCAGGGTGCAGTTATCTTAAGTCCACCCCAGGCCCTCTGGGTGTCACTATAGAGTGAATAGGGTGGAGCAGGCCCTGCTGGCTAACCTACCTGATGGAAATGCAGCTGATTTAACACATTCTCTGGGCCTCCTTCCCACAACTGACATCACTACTTGGTGTTTTTTTAAATCAATTTTCAAATCTAATTCAGTTTATTTTTATATTGTGCCTTTCACAAGAGTCACCCCAAGGCACTGTACATGGGTATGTTGTAATATCAATATGTTTTACTTAAAAAAAAAATATATCTTTGATAACTTTTCCTGTAGGAATGCATGTGAATCCATGTATTCATGGTGCATTATAGAAAGTCAAACTGGCAGGAGCATCTAATCAACAGTGAATATATTCATTAAGCAGTCGGTGAGAGAAAAGAAACGGAAAACCTGCTAATAAGTTCTGACTTATTCAGCAGGCGTAATAAATCAGAAAAAATACACAGTGCCACTTTATCAGGCATGCACCCCCTGGTGGCTGAATTGGGCGGCACAGTCAGTGACAGTACCACGTGTTCAGGCTGTGCTATTAAAAGCAGTCAGGCAAGTATCCAGTGTGTGTGTGTGTATGACTTTGGAAGGGGAATCAATGTTAAGTGGCTTTGAACAGAGTGTGGTACCTGTGGCCAGGGACGGCAGTATGAGCGTTTTGCAAACCTTAGCCCTTCTGGCGTTGCCGGTAGATGGAGATGGGATCCGAATCCATAAGAGGTTCTTTCTAATATCCAGAAACTGCTTTCACTCCTGAAAATGGCTGACAGCCCTCCAGTTTAGTACAGGCAGTCTGCGGCCAATTGACGGACAGCTGGGGACAACGGCGTTGCTAAGAGACCAGTCAAGAAACGCCGGCCCTTGTACACGGCCTGGCCAGGGGGCGAACCGGCAGCCACACAGCTCTGGCGTGGAGCCATTATTGAGTCTATCCTCCCTGCCGTTTCAAGGGGAGACACAGTCTATTAGGCAGGTCTGTTCTGGTCCAATCAAAGGGAAAGCGTGGGGGCGAATGCAACCGTGGGTGACACCCAGAACCTGGTGCTACATCCATATATGTGAAGCTGGTGCATCACTGGGATCAGGCCCAGGAAAACTCGGAATAACGCAGCCAGTGATTCATGGAATTAGAGACTATGGGCTGGGTTTGAGTCTCAGTTTGATGACCTCATGGACTCAGTGGGTCAAGGCACTATGCCTGTGATCAGAATGTTGATGGTTTAAATCCCTGGATCGCCAGAGTAATTCTCACCAATTGGACCCTTCAGCAATGCCCTTAACCACCAATTGCTTTAAGGACTGACTCACCCTGCTTTCTTAAAAAAAATGTATATTGCTTTGGATAAAAGTATAATGTAAGTGTAAAAAAACAGGGTACAAGTACCACTGGAGTGATGTGAAAATTGGACATTTTTAAGTACATGCACAAACTGTCCATGTGAATTTGCTTTTCTGAGATTTTCGGTTTCTCAAAGTTTTTGACCAGATTGCCTCCCCCCCAAATTAAAATCTTTAACTGGATTTATTCCAAAGCTCTGTACACTTTGCCACTGGAGATTCTGGTTCATACATAAAATAAAAAAGAACAAAAAATACTGTGATTGTTATGTTGTGTGTAATGCTAGTCAGGCTGTGACAGGTTATGGGCCAGTCAAAATCTGGCACAAGTGCATAACAGTACACGTCAAAGGACTTCATTATTATACCATGAAGATGTTTTAATCCAAGTTTAATGTACTAATCTGGAGATCCTGTTAATCAGACGTTTCTTTTAGTTTTGAGTCTTTTTGCTGTGTTGATTTTATCTTCAATGTTGCTCTTCCCTGAAAAAAAAAAAACAAAAACATAGCGCTCATCTGGGTTTAACGTACCAGAAGACGTCCAGTCAACACGTGAAAACATTGTGCACGAGCATGAAACATCTTCTGAAGGCATGTGATAGTGACGCCCACGAAACCCAAGCCGGGAAAGTCTCGCCGTAGTCTGTAGGGGCGTCTCCCTAACAACCGGCAGGAGGACGGCTGCGCTCTGGGGAGTCATTTGCTTGCCCGCCACACCTAATTACTCATCCTGTTCGAGTCTGAGAGTACTTAAAGTCCAAAAACCAGTGCTAACCAATCATCCTGCTCGTGTATCTGGTGGTACACCTCAGATCACAGGAAACAATAAATAAATAAATACAGCGCCCCCAAATGAAACAATCACGACCAATGTACGTATTGCTGCAAAACAATTAGCTTTTCTGATGGTGTTAAATGGGCAGACTCTTTGCTACCGTTTTGATCCACTCTGATCTGGTTTATGGATCTTATATTGTTCACAAGTTGCCATAAATCTTACAGGAATTACACATCACCTCACATCTCACCTTACCTGCGGCTCCACCGTCTAAATCTCGTCACCACGATCATCTCAATTTGCATCTCCTCACCTTGGTCGTACTGGCACGTTGCTTTGCACATTTTACAATTATCTGCTCAGTCACTGAAATGAAAAAATAAGTGCCTCAGAATAAAACCTTTTACCGGGGATGATTGGCAACTCGTGCGGTTAGTGGTTAGTGTTTCAGTGCTAAGTTTTGCCCCGTGTATTTTTCCGCTGTGGCACATTGCTGCATTAATCCAATTTCTTTTATTAACCGTTCAAATGGAATGAGTGGGGCGTAGCACCAAGCCTGCTATTCTGAGATGGGCAGGAATGGTGTCCCAGCCTGGTAACTGCACTGATCACGGCACCCTTTGCACGGCATCTCGGAGCTGCGGGTGCGCTCGCTGCGTTATATCATTTTAAAACTCGGCGCACGTTAACGCTGTATGCACGTTCCCCAGCTGACTTCTCGCACCCAAACGAAGGGGGAACATAATGTAATTTCAGAGATGATAATCGGCGTAGGGGGTGGTGGTTCAGAGATTCACGCAGCTAGGCAACACGGAGATACGGGGCATTTCCTAATATGGTTAAGTGAAGATTTGCCGATAGGGGGCGCTAGGCATAGTGTAGAGTAGTTGTAAGTCAGGGTAACAATCGCATAAAGATGCTGTTTTTGGGGGGACGGGCACGGATCACTTGTGTATTTAAAATGGGAAAAGCGAAGTGGTCTAGATAAGCACATATCCCGTTGAACAGGTGTTCCGGGCAATTCGGTTTCCCTATGTTTCCCCTGTCGCGCGCTGATTTGTACACGATTTCGCTGTTGTTTTAATGTCTTTTTACGAAGCTCTTGAGGTAAACAAGTCATATATTTTAAAACATCACGTGCCTTTTCGATGTTTTTTGTTTTTACAGATAATACATGAAAGTATTTAATTGCTGGATAGAGATATTTCTTAATGAAAACGGTATAGTATTGCTTATAAGACTTGTGCGTGACGATCTACTGTATTCACATGTAATAATATACCTGAGTGATTTTCAGACATCACATACATATTTGCCTAAATATTAGGAGAAACTATTTCCTGACATCCAGGATATTTGGTTCCCTCCTGTTAAAACAGGTATACAGCAACTCTGGGCCTCGGTACTAATAGCAATACAGTATTCACATGTAATAATGTACCTGACTGATTTTCAGACATTTCACATACCTCTTTGCTTTAATATTAGGGGAAACATTATTTCCTGACATAGGGAAACCGAATTGCCCGGAACACCTTGCAATGCTGAGCATTTCAGTCAAACTTCGGCATTGTTCACTACGGCTGCAGCAAACCGGAATGTTCCACTTACACCTGAATCGGGGGGATAGGGGAGTCCTGAGCGGGTTGCTCCGGTTAATAATTAATGGTTAAAAGAGCAGAGAAGCTGAAAGAGAATTTGCACTCTATGCATCTAAAACCACCAAGAATGATTAAATTGACATAAGCTGACCAATTTTGATCCAGAAGCGGTGCAGGTTGAAGGTTCTACCTCGGCTTTGGTATTGTACTACAAGGGGGTGTGGGCTGTGAAGTCGCCCGTCCGCAGAGCAAGTTTCCATGCCATATAGAGCTCAACGGCTCCTGGATTATTACTTTGTGCTAACCTACTTAGTGTTACGTTATTTCACTCTGACGGAAGCGGCTGCTCAGCTGCATCCCGTTGCTCCTGTGCTCGTATTCTCGCTCCGCCAGGCTGCTCCAGGGTTGCCAGTTCCAGACGGCGCTGACCACCGTGGTGTGGAGCAAGAACGCCGGGTGGGCGCAGCGGCGGTGGTGGGCAATCGAAACCGCAGAAAGTCTGTGTCTGACTCCGTCGTACTACCTTTCGCCCACAGGTCCACGGATCGGCTGAAGGCATGCTGGAAAAGCTTGAACTGGAAGATGAAGGTGAGACCCTCTTTTTGCTTGCTCCGATCAGTAGCCGGTGGGCAATAGCATGCCTTCAAACTGGTGATCTTTAGCTCGCTTTAAAACGAGCGACCCGGAGCCGGAATTCTGCCCGAAAAAGCTGCCCATCTCCGGCGTGGACTGGCATCATTTACTGTATTAACGCCTTACCGTGACAGATAATGTGTGGTATGACACCATTGACCGCTGAGCTGCGGCTAGGGTTACGTATTTAAGCTTCCTGAGTATTCTAAATCTACTTGCTAACTAAGTTTAGAATCACTTTTGCATGCCTCGTACAGCCTTTCTATATATTCCTTATATCATATATGTGGCATACTGGAAATAGTTTATGATGTAAATGATGTGTGCACGTGTCAACCTGCAAATATTATTTAATACTTTTGTCTTGTATTATTCTGGGTTGTCATTCTTACTTGAATTGCCGTGTAGCTGAGGTTTTAGTGCAGGTTAAATCATAGATGCGCTGTAGTGTCTTGTGGATGTAACCGATGGAGGGATTCCTCTTATCCCGTCCACCATCACCTGTTGACTTTAACGGCTTGTTTTGTGCCGCCGATTTTTGCATTTTATGTTTTGCTGTTCTAAAAGTGAATTCTGCTCTGTTGACTCGACCCACCAAGGGTTGACGATTTACCGGTATTTTTTGACGCTGTAGTTTTGGAGGTGCCTGGTGATCAGACAGCTATGAGTATGTGTATTGTTCATAAGGTTTATGGGATTATTCACTGATTTATTTCTACTCCTACACCGAAAGCCGAATCACAGTTTGCTTAATGACTTGCTGACGGCGCAGTAATGCTGGCAAAATTTCGGTGCTGAATAAGTTTTGTTTTTTAAAATCTTTAAGTTGATAATCGACAGTTTCTGAAAAACGATTACCCCCGTCTCCGTGGCGGTGTCGCGCGCGACATGCGAATGGATGAAAACAAACTATCTCGCTCCACGTTGTCCTCAAGAGCTGCAAATATGACACAAAAAATCGCAGTAAGCTTGTTTCGTCAAAGTTTAAAATTCAAACATAAATGAAACGGTAAACTGTAGTCGTGTGTTCTCCTTGTGGTGGACTGTTCAGAAAGCGGTGTGCACTAATTAAAGAGCGCTTTATTTTTTATTTCACATCGCCATGATTTCAGTGAAGTACCAATTTGTGGGAGTTACTGTTCATTTTTAATACCTAGACGTGCGTCCAGGGTGTTTGCACGCATGCGCCGTACAGCGGCGCTCCGCGGCGCGGTGGGAGGGGGAGGCTGGCATCCCTTACCGCCGTCTGCCTCCCGTATATACTCGTCATTTACGTCAGGACAAACAGGGGCACTAAGCTGTTACCCATCAGTGGTGGATTCCAGGCTTAATGACTTCCAGACTTATTTATGTTGCGTGAGACTCTTTTTTTAAAATAATCTATTTCAGCATGAATGTTTATACTGTGGTAATGTTTATTTGTGCAACACATATCCAGTCAGTCAGTGTAGAAGTTGCTATTTACTTGTTTTCCAGTGATTTCTATTCTCAGCATTGCACCCGCCTTCCTATCCGTTTATTCTGATTAGGGTAATGGTGTATATTGGGGGAGGGGGGTGCTGTAGCCTTTTGCAGATAGTACAGCGCACAAGGGTTACAGTAAGTGTTTGGACTGCAGGTGGAAACCCACGTGACATGGGAACAAAATGCAAAGTATACACACACCAAGGGCAGCCAGGATATGAACCCCAAACCCTGGAGGATTAGGGTTACCCACCGAGCCACTGTGCCACACCATTCTCAGGGGAGGTGGGTGGCTCAGTGAGTTAGGCTCGCTGTGATCAGACAGTCATAATTTCGAGTCCCAGGGTTGGCAGAGTGATGTCATGGATGGGCCTTTGAGCAAGGCCCTTAACCCTGAATTTCTCCAGGGACTGACTGCTGCTTTCTCAGTAATGTATGTCACTGGATAAATGTTTCTGCTAAAAAACAACATGTAATGTAAGACAGATTTGCAGCTGATTAAACAGGCTGCGCACACGTATTGTTTGTGATGTTTCAAGAGTCTTAAAGATGGCAGCTTTGAAGCGATAGTACCCATCTGTGATTTTCAGTCCAGAAGGCCCGACTCATGCCTCCAGTGGCCGAGGTTTCACTGATGGCCACGTTTTCAGCTGGCTGCTGCTCTCTAGTTGAACGTCATGAGAGAACCGGGTCACGTCTGATGCCTGTGTCCCCGTCCCCACCAGTCAGCAGATGTTCGGAGCGGTTTTCAGTGGCCACTGCGGGGTCCTTTTGATCCTTGGTGGGGTCTCAGCTGCCCCCACCCCCCGAAGGGCAATGGAGGACAGACAGTGACACCCCGTGTGCTTACCCAGAGCTCAGAAGGTGGATGAGATGAAAGCCAGGGGAATGTGGGGAAGATAACAATAACAAGCTGAAGATCCCCATTTGTGGGGGAAATGAATGGAATTTCAGAGTCTGTTGAAGTCCAGTCGAACCTGGGGCCGTAGTCACTCGAAGCTGAGCTTCTGGTTTAAATGCATTAGCATGAAATGGCATGCTACACCATATTCCATATCCTGCAGTGCTGTTTACTCCTCAAATCACGTGTTTGCATGGGGTCCTGGAGGTTTGGGGACCCCCTGTAGTTACTACACTAAATATTAAACACGTGTCTTATTTAGGAGATGCTGATGTAGCTAGTTATGCTAACCAGCTAGCTAGCTAAGATCTTCTACCTTTACTTCCTAGGAATTAAATTAGTTTTTGAAACATCTAATGTGGGGTCCGAAGTGAATTTGTTGAGTCACCCCTCAGAGATGGCAAATCTGCCCCAGACCATTTCAGAATTGGTGAGGCTCTTAGAAAGGCAGCAGGTTATTATTAAAAAAAAAAAAAAAAAAAACTAAAAAAAAAAACATAATTTAATGATGGCTGTTAGCATCCTGCTAAAGTGCTAGCTAACCCAGCTTTGAAGGGTCACCAGATATCAAGAGTACCAGATAGACTGTCCTGCTGCATTAGACTTAGTGATGGTCAGAGAGAAGTGCCCCCTCGGCTCCAAGCTGTCAGCCTGCAGATGTCGCTGTGAGATGCTACATTTTGATTGGATGTCTTCCTTTTCGTTATCCTCTGTTGTGAGCCTTTCATCGCCTGATTTGAGCTGCAAGCTAATTATCGTAATCTAATTAAGGAACTAAAAGTCATGCTTGCCAGATTCAGTGGGGTACATTTGCCCCCTCCTGGTGTCTGCAGCTAAGTCTGTTCGGTGTTTTATTAAAGCTCACCATGCTATTGGCTGGATTATTTAAAATCTCTTGACTCCCCCACCAATCAAAAAAGACTGCGGCAGCTTTAGGAAGGCTTCCCGATGGCAGAAGTGATTACCGGCAGGCAGACAGTCAGGGAATTTAGAGACTCGCAGGGCCGAGATGAATCTTGTTCTTCGAAGCTCGCGAGTCTCTGATGCAGCTGAGAATTTCACACGGGCTCCTGGCCGGAGTTCTGCCCCGGTTTGCCTGTTTGGCCCCTTCGGCCTGGTGCTAATGACTCAGAATCTTTGGGCACCGGGTTCTCTGGTGCCAACTCTGAACAACGGCGCATATTTTCCACAGGGAAAATTCTCTGAGGCTTATTTTTAATGATGTTTATATGGGGCAGTTGTTTTCCTGCTGGGAGTTCACCAGATTGACACTCGGGGGGGCGGGAGGTATTTTAGCAGGGTTTTTTTTTCTCTCCTAGGCCTGGGGCCTGGGGGGCAGGCTGTGTGAGATTTTTAGCTATGGCAGGGGTGTTGTGAAACTGAGAACTCACCCCTCCTCACAGGCTAACCCCCTCTCTGTTGCCGTACCCATTTCTGGGAGCGTACTCTATGAATCGCCATGGTAACCAATGGGAGGCCGGCAGAGATTGGTGGCGAAAGCAAGGTGAGGGCAGGGTTTGTTCCGATTGGGTCACACCGTCTTGGGTGCTTAATTTTTGTGCCTGTATGCAAATTTTGCCTCTGTCCAGGGGGCTGGCCCCGCAGGTCTGTTCTGCATTCAAGGGAGCCCACCCCCACACCTGCTCGCCACCTGGGGGGGCCCTCATCCTGATCTGGCATTGCCTCTATTTTAATACTATTAAAGTCTGGAACTTAATACCAGGAACTCATAATGTTTGTCGCCACCACCTGGGACCTTGCTGACCATATAACCGGGTCTGTAAATGGTTCAGGTCGTTCTTCCGGTCGTCTCAGTGCCCTGGTTGCCCCCAGGCCTCCCATAAGACCTTCTGAGTCACAAACAAGAGCCACTGGCTCTCAGCAAGACCACGAATGCGACCATTTCTGTATGACCAGAAATTCCCCCTCGCTTCTCCCACTCGGCGGTGACCAGCAATGCAATCGGCATGTAGATGTTACCCTCCCCCCCAAAAAGCTGCAGGAATGTTCTCTTGTTCGTCTTGTGTGGCTGGTATGTAACAAGAACACGAATCAGTCAGTTTTTAATTAGGCATTTTAATTAGCTGCATACTCTTACAGGTCTCATTTTGACGGCTTCGCCAAACCACAGGCCTAGACCGTGATTTCCCGGACTGGCGCAGCCTCCCTGCCTTGGGGTGGCCATGTTGGGACGGGTGCTGTACAAATTAAACTGAATTATACAAAAGCCTATAGGGCCTCATCCGTCGAAGGGCCTCTTAGGAAACCAGCTCCTCATTTAACGCTCAAAAAGTAATTAAAATGCATCTTTTACTAAGACAGAAGGTTCCGTTATGCCTTCTGTACCCAGTCATCAGTGTTATAGCTTAGTCTCTTATGGCGCTTTTTCACTGGTATACAGGAACTGACCTGTATCCGAGCCATACTGCAAAGAGAGACTAGTTACAGGGCAGTACCCACTTGCTTCGGTTTTCCACTGCAGAAGGGTCGGGTCTGTAGAGACAGCGCAGGTACAGGTCGGGTACGGTTACAATGGAAAACCGCCAGTTCACAGTACGGCTCACGTACAACTGGGTTCTTGGTGGCAGTGGAAAAGCACCATTAGCGCAGCCAGTGGTCATCGGTCTTTAAATAACGTCTAAATTAAATCCCAGGAAGCATTATTGACCCCCCTCCCCCCAGGTCTGTAAAGAGAACACATTTTCTAACACTTGGCCCATCTGTTCTCTCATAGCTGTGGAAGAGTCAGATAGCGATATTTACATGCGCTTCATGAAGTCCCACAAGTGCTACGACATCGTACCGACCAGCTCCAAGCTGGTGGTGTTCGACACCACACTGCAGGTGAGTACTGGGCGTGACCAGCCGTCTCGTATGCTTATATGGTCATTCAGGCCGAAAGCCCCCTGTGATCTGACTGCCTGAGATTCTCACTCTGTCTGGAAGGTCTTATCTGTAAAACATGTGACTGAAGGGCACCATGTGACCTGACTTGCATCAGTGGTTAAACCGCTGGAGACATTAATGCAAAGGGGGCGTTTTCTCCAAGGGTGTCGGCCCCGTGGACCCACTCAAGGTTTGGGGTTTAGGGCAAGATCATCTTCATCAAACACCAATGGTTGTCTAAGGAATATATTTCAGAATATAAATGTAAACATATAGCTTCTTTCCACTACCAATGCCACCAACAGCAAACTTGACTGGAATCAAAATAATATTTTTGGTGTGTACGTTGCGCAAAATGACCCTCTTTAGATGACCCTCTCAAGACTGCCTGGTTAATATTTAATGAACTTTTAAAGGGTTTTTAGATTCATATTTTAATGGGATAAAGGCCATACTATAAATTTGTAGACCTATAAAACACTTTCAGTTGTTGGTTTTTCTTCTCCAGCTTTCATTGTCTCTTCTAAAACCATGAAACTGTTTTTATACAATCCAGTTCAGTGTGAGTGTGCGTGTGTGTGTGTGTGTGTGTGTGTGTGTGTGTCCTTTTGGCAGTGTTGTTTCTTGGCCCGAAGATTCCCAGCATTCTTTTTGGTCTTGAATGTTCTGCCTCCTCTCGGGCTTCATTGTTTTTTGTTTCCCGACTATCTAAGGGATCCGCGTATCAGAAATGTACGTGCTGGGCCTTCCCCTCGCTAGGCCAAAGAGAGGTCTACTTTCATCTGAGAGACGTGTACGAGAAGGATGATGTCAGCCCAGCCGCCTGCGGGCGTGCTTTTAATCCGAAATGCTCATCTCTCAGAGAGGTCAGTTGGATGAGGCCTGATTAAAGGAAACAAAGCTGGTGTTTTCTGGTACAGAATGGGGGGGGGGGTGTTGTCACGCAGGAGGAAGCATCTCAGCCAATGTTGATGCGTGCTGCAATGCCTCTGGGTAGCTGCAGCCAAAATTCCTGATGGTTTCCTTACTGGCACACAGCAACGCGTAGCATGCATTCTGTACAGCAGCATGGACCAGTCCCAAACGAGTTGGTGATAGGCTGCGAGACGGAGACAGCACTCAGTTATGTTCTCCCAGTTGCGTCTAGACCGTGGATGGACCTTCATAAACTTGTCAAATGGCCTTTGAAGAGATGCATTGGTCTGGGGGCTTTCATGTGACCATGCAACACCGTGTATGTCATTGCAGCAGCGGCCCAGGGCCCCGTGATTCAGCACTTGGAATATGTGTTCTTCGTTGCTAGGGAATTTTGGGTGCCGTTTGCCCTGGAAACTGATTTTCCTGCCCATCAGTAAGCATGAGATCGCAAAACGCCTCACTAAACCTCCTTAGGCTGCTCTTCAATTAGGTAAGATGACCGAAGCCTTCCTGACTGGTTAGAGTCAATGACTCTTGATTTGGTACCCGGTCGAACTCTGGTTTATGGCCGACTGTAATGTGGAAGCTTGTCTTACAGTATGGTAAATTGAGTTTCCTCAATTTAATCGGACAGATGTTTGGAAGCTCTGGTGGTCTGGTTGTGGTCAGGGTTCCCCCTGCTTTCTACTTGGTGGTCTTGATCAGGCTCAGGAATGGGGAGGAGATGGTCAGGCTGGGTTGTCGCGAACACAACTTTTCCGCTGACAAAATGAAACCTGGACTTTACTCTGCAAGCTGTTCGTTTGCCAGATGTTTCTGTTGGGTTATGGGACAGACAGATGTGTGAGGCGAGCTCTAAGATTTGACAGCAGGCACCTTCAGCGCCTCCTCTTCTTACACAGGTTAAGAAGGCCTTCTTCGCCCTGGTGGCCAATGGCGTCCGCGCCGCTCCGCTCTGGGAGACAAAGAAGCAGAGTTTCGTAGGTGAGTATCAAGCGGCCTGCTCATCCGGATGTCTGCTTGATGCCCCCTTTTTGCAGATGCTTGGCCGTCATCGAACACGAGCCACTACTTGGTGACCTGTGCGTAGATGAAGGTGGTGGATAACACTCTGGAATCATCGGTGCCACCCACTGAATAAAATGGAAATCTCGCCAGACCGTCTTAAAAAAAACTTCACGTTTGTTGTAGAAATATATAAAAAAAAACAAAACACACCCCCAGAAACTTTGAACGGACTGCTTTTCAAAAAAAAAAAAATAATAATGTAGCATAGACACGTTTGGAGACTGCTGCTTCCTAGGGGAATAACGGTGTCGTCAGCCTTTCCAGTATGAGGGGCTCTTCCGGCATTTTTTAGGAGTGTTAATTATATTTAGCGTTACATCATTTGTATTTAAAAATCTGTGGCCCTTTATACAGATCTCCATTCTGCATTTGTTTAGCGTTTAATTTTAGGTCAGATTTTCGCTAACCTGAGGGAGTATGTAGCCCCGGCCGGGTCCCTTGGTCACAGTGACAATTGGACTGTGCACCTGAGATGCCCTCGAGCTCCCAGGCACTGAGCAGGTGGGAGGATGCTGTCTGTTACCGTGTCGAGGCGGCGGCAGGCGTTCCGAAAATAGATACTCTCTGAGGAGGGTGGTGATGGGCCTCGCGTGCTTGGCCCCGGCGAGTGAGCGGACCGACGGCTGGCCGCGACGTGTGGGGCGGGGCTTATGTTGAGTCTAGACGTCGTGATGAAGGCTGGAAGGCTGGATACGACCTCATCAGTCATCCTTCTCTCATCCATCTCAGACAAGCAGCAATTCATCATCCTTTCTAAACTGTCCAGGAATTTTCTTTAACTGTTTGGATGCACAGAGCTGGTCTCTTCTAGACCCTTTATCTCGCTCAGAAAGGCTTCTGATAACTGGTATTTAGCTGAGCTTATATGGGCTTCTTAAAAACATTATTACATAAAATAGGTTCCCAAGGATAGAGCCTGCGCATCCGTTTGTGTTCACCAGGTCAATTTTTAACCTTGTAAACTCTATTGTTCATTTATGATTAAAGCTGTCACTTTAACGATTGGGCATGGCTTAACTCTGTGTGCAGCCCTATTAAACAGTCGTGCTGAAGAGAAATGATTGCATCTTTTACAAGGGGCACCTGTATTCTGCAACTAGTGGGAGGGGCCTCTGCAATGATTTATCAGGGGTGAGTTCAACACACAGTGTGCCAAAGACTCCTATTGGTTAGCAAAAGCTTGCAGTGTGTGTCGCATTTTAGGATTTGATGGCCGATGGGGATCTTGAGCTCTTCCTCATATGGCCCCTTACAGCCCTAACGTAAGTTCCTCTGTGGATGGGGGATTTAAGGATTTGTTGTTTAGCATGGGATTAATTCAGAAATGGGTCGTGGCAGCTGATCTGGGTAGAGGGGGCAGTACCCGCAATCATCCTGTGTCAGGAGGAGCCCTGGTATCGTAATACCAGGGTAGATGAAAACATGTCCAACAGGCACCTGTGATCTTCATCTGGGGCCAGTGTGCGGCTCAGCGGTTGGGGTACTGTGTCTGCAATCAGGAGGGTCCCCAACTGCCCTGCTTTCCCCAAGAAGTACAGCTCTTAGAATAAAAGCATTCGCTAAATAGATTAAATATAATCTTGACGCTCCCTCAACTGCTACATGACTAATTCGGACATTGTTGCCACTGAATTTTGTCGGTAGAGCACCGTCCCCTGTCTCAATAACACTCCATTTCCCTGCCAGGACCCCGCCTGTCTCAATAACATCCTGATTTCCCTGCCAGGACCTCAAACTCCTGCCTTATATTTTTTCAGTGAACTGTCCCTTCATCTCCCCCCTGGAATAATCGCCACATCGTGATGCAAACTACCAGACCTTCCTG